TTCGCCACTACAACCGGCGTCGTCTTCGCCAACCCAGCTGGTGTCGCCTTCTTCACTGGAACCTCTTCCTCCGAACTCGAGTCCGAGTCACTCGACGACTCCGCCTTCTTCGACACCAAAACCGGCGTCTTCACCACTACAACTGGTGTCGTTTTCGTCACGACAGCTGGTTTCGCCCTCTTCACTGAAACGTCGTCGTTTGAATTCTCGCCCGAGGCATTTAGTAATTCACCATAGTTGTGGACTATGGACTTATGCACATATTTCTGCACTCCTGAGGATATCTTTGATTGACGATTTGCAGGAGACTTGCTATTTTGTTTGTCACTGGCATTAAGTTCTGCGTTGGCAATGTTGTTAGTTGTCACTTTCTTTTGTTTTCCCTTTGATTTCAGATATAGATTTTTTTTTGATTCACCGGAACCTGTAACGAATTCCTCTTCTTCTCCAGCCCGATGAAATTCACCCCTCCTTTTCTTTGTTTTGTCATTCGCAATATTGTCATTCTTTGTAATTTTGTTGTGGTTTAACTTCTTGGAAGGATCTACAACCATGCGTGTAGGTTGGAGCTAAATAATTAAACATGATGAGATTCAATAACCTGTTTTGCTAATCTTAATGCTTTATATGTATCACCCAGTTTCTGCATTATTTTTGACTACCCTATAGTGATGAAAAATGTTACTATAATTTATGACGAAAATCAAAACACATAAAACCTTCGTTACCATTTGACAATAATATGAAAACCATGATTGATCCTTTATTACTTTAGATTATCTAGGAGTGTCAGATAAAAGGGAGAGCCTATATTTCTGTATTGACGATGTTTAACGGGTACAGTTAATGAAGGACCAACATACCTGCGTGAAAAGCAAAAGGCGAATCTAATTGGTGAACAAACCACGTGCAAAAAGGCTACTGAAAAGTCGGTTAGCCAATTACCTCATTTAAACACGACTATTCCTTGAAATTTGGATTGACAATTTATATGAACATGTGTATTAGGTTTTAGAATCTTGTAGATTTTTCTTTTTCTCGAAATCGCTTCTGTACTTGTTAGGAATGAACTTTGTGTTAATGAGATCAGGTAATACGCCGTTATTTTTTTAATTTGAGTTACTCGACCAAAAAAGGAGCGTGGCGAAATCTACTTTGCTGGATATTATGCTTGATTTATGTTTACTTCGTGCGATGCTGCTCTTTTGAGCATGACTGAGAAAATATTTTTGAAATTAGGGTGTCATTAAATTTATATTTATTACGAACTGCATTACCCTGGTGTGACTTACAGTTTAATCTTTTTAACAACGAGTTTTACGCATCGTGCCTCAATTTTTCATCTTAAGATTAAAATTTTTCGTTATTATGACCACTATGCGCCAAAATGACTTATTCGAAGTTTTAAACCCCAACTCTGTGTTATTATAAACTTGTCACTCGTTAGAGGGTTTCGTGTAGACTACCAACATTGATATCATTGTATAAGGAGTATTTGGGGTGTAAATGGGTTTTTTTGGATGCTTAGGGGTGCTGAATTAACGTGATTTTGACTTTAATTTGGCACTATTCGAATACCAGTCCCGGATTTAATAAAGAAAATAAATACGACCAAAATGCTATTTATTCATTAACAACGACTGCATTGAATACCTCATTTAGTCACATTGAAGTGGTCACAATAGAGCTACCAGTGTTTATTCAAGTGCCAAACTTTTCCCTACTATTCACTTTCTGCTTTTCAATTTTGCCCTTTAGCGTTACTGGGTGTGTATTTACTTGAATGTGCAAAAGTACTGAAATGCACCCAAAATGATCATTCATGGGTGATGCTTTTTTACAGGCGCGTAGCTTTTCATCGCCTTTAATCATTTCCCATGATATTGAAGTTAAATACCATGGTTTGGTAAGAGTGCATCTAATCCAATTTGGTATATTCAATAAGGATTATGGATATTACAATGATCTTGAGAAATTAACTAATCAAATGGATGGAATAGCTATTAAGTAAGCTTTAAGAAAAGTATGCTCTTGACTTAAACCAGCAACATCGAGCTCAAGGAATCGTTTCACAAGGAAGAGATTGCTTGGTGGATGGTAATAGTTATTTAATGTTGGCAAATCAGGAAACGCAATATTTCACAAAGCACGATTTTTACAATCGATTAAATCATGTTTAAGCAGAGTTGTGTTAGCATTTCGACTAACGCTGTGAGGCCAAAAATTGATTACATAGACTACTTGCTTTATGCACGAAGTTAATTTGACGAAATAACTACAGGATCGGCTTCTCCCTACAAATATTCAAAAGCGCATACAGAGATAATATTTTTAAAAAAAACAAAGCCGTTGAGCAACGGCAAATATTTTGAGAAACCGGCAATAAACACCTAAAGGAAAGATGGATTAGCTCTTTATACATCAGCAGGAATTTATTACAAGGACTTGAAATCATCGGCCAAAGCAGTCGAAATCAAATAAGATGCGGAATCGAGTTCGATCTAGAAACGTAAAGAAGGCATGCGTGACCGCATTCATCTGTTGCTCGTGGATTAGGCATGCATTCTGTCAAGTAGCTTTATCTGTGTCTGCATGCACTTGGGATGTTGTGTATTTGGAATATGCAATTGCGAAGTTGGGCGCACAAATGAATGGTAGTTCGTGTTAACGCATCACTTCTAGATGCCGATGCTTGCGAGATCTTGTCTTACCAACTCCGCATAAGTGGGTTGGCTTCGTTCAGATACGGTTGCAGCGTGAGGAGGTGCAGATCGTTATTGTGACCTCCACAAGCCTCCGTCCGTCCGTCCGTCCGTCCATCCACCCATCCATACGCATTTCACCCATCCCTCCACATCTCCAGCTCAAATACACACGTACGAATGTATGCGCGCATGTAATAGGAGAATGGAGGTGTAGGGCCTACACCTCCTCCACCTCCTCGTTAGCCTATTGACAGGAAGGCAGCTCAAGTAGATTTGCTGTGCTAGGAAGTTGTTTACAACATGTCCTCCGTCCAACATAATACCAGGCCGGCACAAAAGCAATTTCGACCTCGTAAGCGCCCGCTTCTTTGGTCGAGCACATTTGTCAGTTTAGTCGGTGCA